CAAAAATTGTACTGTCAAGATTTACTTTAACAATCTTTTTATGGTTATTAAGCAGTCTGTTTTTTTCACAGTGCCAGAGAACCTGCAGACTGAGATCGCTGTGTATATTGGAGATGATTACAGTACTTGTGTGGACTCATAATTTCTGAAATCTACAATTTTTGCCACATAGGTGTACAGGTAAACATCTGAAACTTGACATAAAGGAAGAAGAGTGAAAACTGGAAGAGGAACAACAGAACCAAGAACAACAAGAGATGAAGTAAAACCAGAAGAGGAATGAGCAACAGTATAACTGATGAAATTACGCTTGTTACAGCATTAGGAGGCTGGGAAAGTGGTTTGACCAATTGTGAACCAATGCATCCAATATGAGAGGGTATTTCCTACTTCAGTTTAATTTATTGAATTGGATTTATTCAATTTGTTTGCTGGAATTTGGGCTGCTCAAATTTATGATTTAGATGATTTAATATAAGCTTTTTGGTCAGTGTTGTGAGGTTTGCAAAGGTAGTCTCTAAGCAGTCAGAAAAACATGTAAGTCATATTCTAAATTAGCAACATCGTGTGAAGAAAAGATGATAAACTAAGAACGAGACATCGAAATCAAAATTGCTGATGCATACCTTAGCATTTTTAAGTGTGCATACTGAGTGCAGGTTTCATGTATTTTCTATACACATCAGTTGGTGTGTGTGATGAGAGCCGCAATGAATACTGTGGGGGAAGAGGAAGGCAGAAACCTTAGGGCTGTTACACACTGTTGAAAAAGAAGATGTAAAGAAAAGATGACACAGAGTATGCACCACACAAGGAGAGACAGCTGAGAGTTAACATCTATAAGAAACTTTAAATCAAGAATTTGCAAGTACATGCTGTAGGTGTTAGTTTTGTCTCTGCTTTGCCGTCAGCTCAGAGAAGTATCGACAACAACAGCTCATTATGTGTATCCCTGCTGCTCTTTTACCTCGTGTTTTTATTTTTGAAAATCTCAAAAAAGGATAGCACGGAGGTATAATTTTCACCAGACTGAAATGCTGCGGGTGATGTGTATTAAGGAATATTGAAGTAACTTTGATCAAGATACAGTACATCTCTATTAGAGTGTGTCGTTCGCCATTTAATTGGTTAAAACCCGACAAGTTTAACTCCCCGCATTTACTCAGATATGTATGCAAATGAAGCTGTGGCCGATGAGAGGCCCGTGCACCCCAACAGCTCCAGGCTATGACTCGTTGGCTGTGAATTCTACAGTTATTCGCTAACATCAATTCACTCAGGGAAGGCAATGCCTCATAATGTTGGTTCACTGTCAGGTTGAATGTTATCCAACAGCTGGTTTCCCAGTACCGATATACTGACAGAAAAATGCATGTATTCTCTTTGAACCATGCCTTTCTAAAAGTTTCCATTTAAATGCCAGCACAAATAAATCAAACTATTTTAAAATATTCTGTCTGTCCTTTTTTGTTTTTATACATATTAATTCTAAATCGAAAATGACATTTCAGTGTCACTGGTGGCAACGCCTTATTTAATACCCCCTCCTTTGGTCCACGGTTCTTTACAGTATTGCTTCAGTTCATTAAGGTTTGGGTATTTTCATTTATGGACACATTTCAATCAGGTTTACTAAATTAAATAACGCACACTACAACATTACAAAATAGCTCTAATAAATACAAATAGCTCTAACTGTGAATATCCCAGTATATTAAACAAAATTACATATCTCTGGTTGACATTGAGGTGCATACTGTCGTACTGTAATAGATAGTAATGTTGTGCAACTATTGCATTGTGTACGTGTGCGTTAGATGGAGGAGTTGTCCAGGAATGATTTCCTGTGTCATTCAATGTTGCATTTAGGTAATCTCAGTCTATCACAGAGCATCCTCCTATGACTGGCCAGCACGTTATGGAGTGGATAGGAAGTTTTGTCCAGCATTGTCCTTATCTTGGACAACAAGGCGCCCAGGTCCTATGGCTTGATAGGCTGTCTTTGTTTTTCATTAAAACATGGAACACATGTGTACTATGCCCAAACACCTCGATTTTGGTCTCCTCTGTCCAAAGGACATTGTTCCAGAAGTTTTGTGGTTTGTTGAGATGCAATTCTGAAAACCTAAGATGTGTTGCCATGTTCATTTTAGAGACAAGGGGCTTTCTCCTGGAAACCCTCCCAAAAAGCTACACATGCTTTGTCTTTATCTAATTGTACTGCTGTGAACTTTAACATTTAACATGCTAACTGAGGCCTGTTGCTCCTGGGTTTTTTGCAATGTCTCTATGCACTGCAGTCTGACCTTGAGGCCAGTTTTCTGTGACATTCATTCCTGAGAAGTTTTATGACATTTTGTTAAAACATGCTTGAACGGCTGAATCCAGACTAGCAAACTGCAAAAACGTGTAGATTATATCCACAATAGAGTGCATGCTGTATCTACTCAATAAACAATAAATCTAATTTTGTGTTAATGCCCAATTGCATTAAAACTATTTTACTAAATATGGTTAAAACACTGACAGACAATATAAATATATTTTTGGGATAAATTCCACCCTGTAAAATTGTTGATGAATTACATAGTTTTTTCATAGACTTCATACAATTTCTCCACCATGAAGTACAAAACTAATTGATGAGCAAAATGCTTTTTGGCTTCACTTTAAGCCAGCAAAGTGCTGATTGTGGACATTTCTTTAATTTTCCTCTGTCATTAATTCCCCTTGACACATAATTTTTTGATAAACTGCATTCAAGCACAGGACCTTACCTTAATCATCTGATTAACATCAGCTGTTTTATTCGCGCTTCACAATCACTGTGTCATTCACAGCTGACACCCAACACTCAGTTATATTGATTCAGGTATAGGTATTATAATCTGACAGCACAAATGGATCCCTTACATGCCAACAGCTCTTAATGTATTACCTCCTCCCACCACCCCAACGTTGTAGTTTCATTCAGTTTTAGCCTGAACGGAACATTTAAGAAGTGCTTATAAAGCCAAATCTTCTCTGCTGCTTTGGTTCCGTCAAAGAGCATCGCCTCCCTCCAAATCTATCAGTTTAACTCTTAGCTTTTGTGTCTGATTAAACCTTCATGTAGCAAACCAGTTCTTTACTGGTATTAATAATTTTATGAGCACTGCATTCAGACTGTACTGGGGATATCCAGTACACAACCACAAAGGCTGAAAGCCTGTTGATTCATACAACTGTGATCAGTGACCAGAACATGTACTTGCAGGCATCCAACTTAGCAACATATAATGCCCACTTGTGGACACACATTCAGCAATCCAAAGGCTTGGCTAGACTCAGTAAGTAGATTGCACACCTGGTTGAACCCAAAATATGAAACATTATCACGATATTACTTCTGGGTAGTTGCAGTAGGTATTAAACAAAGACAGAGCCCGTTTAGAGGAAAGGAAGAACATACATCTTTATCAGCGTCCACTTACAAAAGGTTATCTTCCCTATTGCTCAAATGTTACCTGATAAATGTCCTGGTAACTCTCAATATTTTCACTGCGGGTGGCACATTTGTCATCGTTGAGGTGGCGGGCTGAGTAGGGCACAGATGGGAACTACTCCTACACACTGGCGTTGACATATGAGCAGCGGGTCGGACCAGATAAGCACGTGTTTGATTGATAACCCCTCGTGCGTACATCTTAACTACCGAGAAGCTGAACTCATGTGCAACGCTGGAATGTAATGAACTACAAGAAGCTTCATAGGTAAAGTTATACAAAAAGTAAGATTACCCCGCATTACTTGGGTAAAACTGTTGCAACGGCAACCACTCTCTCTGCCAACTTTAAATCATACCTCCAAGCTGGTATATGAAGCCTTTTGTGCTTACACGCGGGGGGGGGGGGGGGGGGGGGGGGGGGGGGGAATAACTCAATGAAACAGCATTGTGTGATGTAGCAGATAGCACATTCCTGATTTGTGATTGGTGGTAGAGTATCAGCTACTTGAAGGTAGTATGCCCACTTTAAAATCAACTTGTCAAATGTGACAAGGAAGATCCAGTAATTAGTACATATTGTCATTCCCTGAAAATAGATGTATTCAGACAACTCGTACCTATACTGATCTGCACATTCATCACGACCCATTTAAATCTATTCTTTGTTGTATGCTTTTTTTATTGCCGTTTTGGAACCCTTCCACAGGCTGCACTGTACACTTGTCATGTGTGCATTCAAATTTATTAAAAACCTGTAAGATAGAACAGTAGGTGTATGTGAAGGGTACATCCACCACCAGTTTACGGGAGGCTCGCATGTTACTGTGTGTGGGCAAGCTGAGAAGAACGGCTCGAGCGAATACAAGAAAAGATACAATGCAACCCTTGTATGGATCTGACGCATTGTAAAAAGGTGTCCCTCGGCTGCTCTGCATCTACTTTTAAAGCGCTCCAAGTTGGGGAAAGCTTAACATAAGGACAATCTTCTCACATCATCAGATTAACGTTTTCTCTTCTTTTGATGCCTAAATATCAGCGACATCACAAACTTTACTTTGTGATTGACGTGAGCCAAAGCACACTTCCAGTATTGCTCATACCTAGAGGACAAAAAACAATTTTATTTCCAAATCTTTAGATATGATGGCTGCTGAGGGGAGAAGTTCACCCTCCAAGGTTTACTCTCTATAATCACACAGATGGAGCCAGCCAGGGATTGTAAAGGTAAGCTAACCCAGTCCCAGCAATTTTTCCACACACAGCAGTCTGTTTGGTTTGTTTGCTGTCTCTTCAGGACTGTGGGTTTTTTTCCCCCCCCACTGTTTTGACAGCCTACCATCTGCTTCAGAGCCAATCTCGATCTCATATACCTTCCCCAGTCTGTATTTACTCGGCTGACAGGACTTCAAGTTTGGGACTAAAGATAATCAGTAATGATAGTTTGACTGAAGTGTACGCGCAAATGCTGACACGTGTTTGAGGCGATGATTGGAATAAACCACGACAAAAATAATTTTAATAAAATATTGTATTTAATGGCAGAAAGGAAGAAAACATGCTCTGATGACCTCCACCTGAAATTCAGTCAAAAAGGGCAGAAATCAATGAAGAAGTTTAAGATTCAAAAATAGCTTATGGTTACAAAGTCAGTGCTAAAAAAAGACATAAGATACAATAGGCTAGAAAAAGAAAAGAAACCAAAAAAAGCTATACTATAATAATATATTTGTGCTACAATATCTGCAGTTAAACCGCTCCACCCTCATTTTTTCCCCAAAGGATATGACACAATAAGGATACAAATGGTTCTGCTGGGCCACAATATCAAGCCTTGGTATCTTGAATAGATAAAGTGTAAACATAATTGTGAAGCGAAAACACCATTGCAATAAACATAAGGCTTGTTCTATATATGCACAGTGGCATCATGAGAAAAGGCAAATCATTTCCATATTCTCATTTCATCACCATATCATCGCTCACCTGCTGACTTCACCTCTGTTTTGGCCCTCTCTTGGTAGCTGTGTTGTCTTGTTTCGGTCTTGCAGATCGAGCAAATTGCTGAGAATTGTAGAGTTAAGGTCTGGGGCAGCAAATATTTTCAATTCTATGTACTACTGCAATCTATAATTCATTAATTATCTCACAGCCATGGAGTGTCATTTATTTCTGAACTTGCACAGAGCAGCTTTAGGCCACATCGGCCTTCTTCCTTGTGACACTCACTGCCTCATGAATTTAATCTGAGTAAAGGTCTCAGCTATTTGTTCATAAATGCCAGAAGACTTCTGGCCAAAATTGACCTTATAAGAGTTTGGGTCTCTTGGTTTCCTGAGGTTGCCTCACTTACTCAGTGACATAACCATAATCATACAGACTGATAAACAGTTCACCTCACGTAGCAGGTTAAATAAAGAGAAGAGATCCAAATGTGTGGAAGACTGTGACCGGAGTGTTTTTGCTAACAAACCTCAGACTAAAACATATGAGGATTTTATGCCGGGTTTTCTTCAAGCTTACTAATTTTTGCAGCTCTTGGTAAGTGCCATACTGCAGTCTCAGGCAAACTGAAAAAAATCATGACAGGGAATTCAAACTGGGACTGGCTGTCCTCTGCCTAAAGATATCTGTACCTGAATGAACCTTTGTTCACTTTCTGATACTGCAAACAGACTAGAAAAATATCACATTTAAGCTATGAGTACATGCTTATTTCATTTTACAACAAACGTACGCAAACAAGCCAATCCAGGAAACATTTCTCAGAATAAAGGACTAATTATACAATAATAATTGTAGCGTATAACTTAATATCCAGAGCAAAATTTGGGATTAAAAATCTTAACATTTTTACAGTAGCAGTAATTATATAAATAATTTTTGGGAAAACTTAATTTTTTGCTCAGAGTTGGATGAGAACGTTGACACCAAGCTTATCAGTGTAGCCAGCAGCCACTGTGAATGGTGCAATAGCAAGTGGCACAGCTGTTTGTTATTACCTGGTTGGCCCTTGCTTTATGCTAAGCTAATCTTACTGTCAGCCTCCATCAAATTAGTTTTTAATCAAACAGACTTGAAAAGGCACAGCATTACACACAAGAGGAACCAATAAATGCAATCTCAAAGAGTCAAGCAGCTGAGATTGACACAGAGATCAGAAATGAAGGTGAAAGGTAACAAAGTTAACATGTCAACGTCAGGTCAGCCTGCCAAGTGAGCTTCTCCCAACACTGCTGTTGCTGCTTGGACTGCTCCATCAACTGAGAAGACTTCTTTTAATCTTTTATTGCATTATATTCAGATTTTAATTTATTTAGATTGAATTTTTTTTAATTTCCTATTTATTTAGCTCCCACTGAATGTTTTTTTTAAGTTTTCTGAGCTACTTTGTATTTGGATATGTAGCAAGGTCAGTTCTCCTGCTTTGGAATAACGTCCAAACTTTTGGAATAAATAAAGTGCATTCCCATACTGATATCTTCTGACATAAAAAATACCGGCAACCAAAAAAAAAAGACCATCCCACATTTTACTAATCACATAGTGGCTAAAATATTATAAATATGAATAAAACTGAATTGATACTGAGAGACAAATTTTATCCTCTTTTTTTATTTTTCCTGCAACACAGCTGAATGCAGGACAACACCTGAAGTAAATTATGCTGCAGACATCTCTGTTCACTCTTTGAGCTGAAAGACTAATATGCTGTCGACAAGCTAATTGGGTGCAGGATGCACATTAAAACACTATCAAAGTCAATAGCCTTGTTCCATTAAACAAGTTTAAATGTTGATGCATGGTTATCTCTGGAAAGAGGAAGAAAAACAGGTGGTGGTTCAGAGCTGCCAGATATTAGACCATATCCTCCTGAAGGTACCGAGGACCAAAGCCAAAAGCACATCTGTGAAAGCAAGTGCCCACTTGATAAATCATCTCTCAACTACCCCTTGATGTCTGTACCATTTTCTGCACGTTCACTTACATGTCATAGCCACTTAGATCACTTCCTTCTGTTTACCATGTTTTTACCTGCACTGTATTGTTATGCTAAATAATGCACACTAATGGTTACGTTTTTAAATCCAAACAAATATCAGTGCAACCTGAATTCACACGTTGTCTTTGTTTCATCTGACAGAAAGGATACAACAACCAGAGGTTTGTCATAAAGTACGTAGCCGTTGGTTTCCTTCAGGGCTTTCTCTGCACTCTGCACACTGGGGAGTCCGACGAAGGCCTGCCCTTTCATCCGCCCCTCCTTCATTAACACAATGTCAAACCTATGGAACAGGAATAAAGACACATCATTATCATTCAAAGCTTGTGGCCTGGTCGACTCAACGTTAAGCTCTGGCTTTTCAGCGTTACAAAAGGAAAATGTTATCTGCTCCTGCGAGCTCATAAAACAGCGGCTGTCGGTCATGCGTTAGTGAGACCCAGCAACCTGCAGGTTTTTATTCCAATTAATTGATTCAACTGAGTCGATATTTAGCTGGTAGAATAATTGAAACTCTGTATTAAAGTGCAGTCTACTACCAAAACATTAGGCATGTCTAACTACACTGAACACAACATGTCTATCCAGCACACAGTGAAACCTGAAACACTGAATCTCTCTTCTTCATTTCTAATCATTTGGCAACATCAGGTAAGCAGATGGACAGAAAAAGGTAGCTGACTAAATCATTATTTTAAGGTTGACTTCATCAATATAAGTACATGTTAATGACAAACAGCTGTGTAATCACACACATTAACAATTTAAAACTGTGATGACAAAGAAATTTAGAGACGACAGAAAGCTGTCTTTAATTTTGCTGCTGCACAGCTGACTGTGAGTGAGCAGTTGCAGACAGCTGGTTAAGTTATCAAGTGACAACATTCACTCACGTTCACCTTAGTTCTCTTAGGACCAGCTTTTCTGTGCTACAGTTTATTTGAATTCACTAAAGACAAGCTGTCATTTGCATAAATCATCAATTCCCCAAAAACCTGAGATGCTGTTGAAAATACAATTAAAAACAAAAATCTCCCAATTTTCAAAACCCCCATAGTTAACTTAAAACAGGATATTAAAAAATCATATATAATATTTGAAGGTAAAAAATGTACCATTTTAAGAAAAACATTAGCTCATTTTGAATCTCCCCCCATTTATGAACGAGACCCAGAGACACTTGAACTTGACCCAGAGTGGGCACTTCACCCTCTTCTGGAACCATGGCCACAGACTTGGAGGTGCTAATTGTTATTCCCACCACTTTGCACTCAGCTGTGAATGTCTCCAGCGCAAGCGGCAGGTCACCATTTTTGGAAAACATGCACCCTGCATACCCCATATATGCATATATAAAGGTTTTAGAGCAACAGAGCTCTCATACAGACAACATATTTTGCATATTTCAGCAATACGATGCTAAACTGCATCCTGCACAAACATCTTTGTAGATTACTTCAGACCTTTCCCCAACTGGAAACATTTTGCAGATCATAAAATTAAAAAACATGAAAGCCAACAGGAAAATATGAAAGTTCAGGACTGTTGAGCAGCTAGAATTCTAAATCAGACAATAATGGGGCAACATTCCTCTCCCAGCAGACCAACAGCTGGTCTCCTCAGTTCCCAGATGTTTGCAGATTGTTGTTAAAGAAGAGTGAATGCGACACCATGTTAAACATGGCCCCACAACAACTTTCTTATACATGTTGCTGCCTTCAAATTCCAAATGACTCATTTTTTTCCCCTTGAAATTGAACATTTTCGCAGTTTAAACACTCAAAATGTTTTCACTGTTGCAAAAAAAGCTGGTGTTCAGAACTCTTTTTCAAAAGTGTTGAGGTCACTAATTGTTGTAAACGCCAAAGAAAAAAGAAAAAAGCCAAGCAGGTCACTAAAGTAAGAAACTGATTGGCTCGCAGAGTTGCAGTTTCCTTTTTATCACCTGAATCTGTGTTCAGAGTCCGTCCTCAACACAAGCTCGGTTTGATGACTCAGGTGGAATATTCATTTGAAGTAGTGCTGATGCACAAACATAAAAACATCCCTCATGATCTCTACATCAGTTTAGGTACTTATTAATAACACAAGACAGTGTCAGCATGAATAACTAAAAACTCTCAAGAGAAAGTGACAAATTGCTAGAGTCAAAAAATAGCTCATGAAGAGAAACTTGGGGGGGGGAGTGAATCACAAGTTGTGTTAATATGAAGTAAAGACATGATACGGAGGATTGATGTTAACATACATGTTTCTCTCCTCTTCTGACGAGAGGTTAATGTATCTCCCGTAGATGTACTTCAGCTCCTGAAGACAAATAATAAACATTAGCAGCAAAAATGATTAGGATTTTATTTATTTTTTGTGATGCATCATTACAAAATTGAATAAATATTAACCCAAAATGTTGATGACACATTTGCTTCGCACTTAATTGAGTCTCTCTGCGAACTAGAAGGCAACAAAGTAGCTTATTGGATAAATCAGCTCGACACAGCCGGGAGGTTAACGGTGGAGATTAAGGCAGCCTGACCTTCAGGTGAGCCCAGAGACGCCCACACAGAGAACACTTTCGCTGCCACCTTTTTTCTCACCTTCACCAGGGCCGTTACTCACAGCTGTGAGCTACGGCTAAGAAGGCCTGCGAATTCACTGAACAGCTTCCGTATCAAATGTAAGGGAAGAAATATCACCATTTTCCCAGGAAGCATAGGGTCAAACAGTAGTAATGTATGACATCATCCTGATATAATGCATTGCAAGAACACCTTTTATGAGGTAGTGGCACCTGTTATATGCTTTATGCAATAGCAGTTATCATCAAGCTTCTAAAACAAGACATTTTTAAAGATAACTGATGCTATGCCAATTTAATATATAGGACGATGATCCCAGACTCTCACGAAACAACTCCAGTGAACCAAACAACCGCATAAAAGTGGATCAAAGAGCTAAAATTGGACCTACCTTCTCTTCCACTTGCTTTGCAATGTTCTTCACGTATAGTCTGCAGGTCGGCTCGCCAGGTTCATAATTTTTAAACACAGACATCCTTTTTATCTCTGTTTTAAAAGAGAGAAGGAGGGGGTGCCTTGATGCAAGGTGAATTTCAAAAAAAACAGGTACAAAGGATCACAGGGCTGCCTATACCAAAAAATTTAAATAAATTCAAAGTCGTTGCAACTCAATACCATCCGCTCAATGTTTTATTTAAGACAGGATTGAGAAAGAACTAGGCTTAGAAGCTCCATGACTTTAAAGCAATGATTACATGTATGAACTTGTTTTTCAGTGTAATTGGGCATATCGTGTGTTAGCTGGTGTATACGTGCTTCTAAAAACACGGCGTCAGAGAACGTGAGACAAAGTATTGGTTGAATAGCCCAACTATTTAATAAAGGTCTACCTTTCTGTCAAATTTGCTCTCATGCCAGGGAGAAACAAAACAAGTTGTATAAAATGGTTTAAATATACATGAAAATGTGCATTTTTCCACATTTAAACCTATGTAAATGGACAGCAGAGCCAGAGGAATGTCAGTGTTTATTTGGAGGTGTGTTTTCACCTATTCAACTAAACAGCAGGATTTGAAAGCAGCTCTGCCCTGAAGCTGAATTTAAGCTAACCTGCCCTGCAAAGCCGAGTAGACCTGTAAATGATAATTCTGTCTGTGAGTCACTGGATAAATTGTAAATAATTATGATAACGGAATCTTAAAATCACAACCTCATTAGAGAAAATGACTTGTAATCATCATCATCCCTACAATCCTGCTAATGTCAGTAATGTTGATCATTTTTGGCTTTCCTGAGTAATGGAAGTTTCAAAGTTTTATATAACAGACAAAAGCACTGGGCCACCTACCAGATCAGTCTTTGAGCTGATGTCTTATGAGTCAGAGCGTTGGTGACTTTTAGCCACTATACGCCTCAGCACGCAGCGCCACCGTTCTGTAAATTTATGTGGCTGCCACTTTGTTGCCGACACGCTGTGGTTCCTAACCGCTTCCACTTTGCAATAATACCACTTACAGCTGATTGTAGAGTATCTAGGAAGGAACTGATCGGCGGCAACAAGTATTACAGTCAAGCTACTTTCGACTGCTCGCTTGTCACAAGGGGCTGCCGCAGTGGGAAGCTCTGCATGTTTGATGTGGCAGCTTTACGGCAGACGCTCTTCCCAACGCAACCCACAAAGGGTCTGGAATTACCTTCTGGTGGTAAACTCGGGCTGGAATTGAACCAGTGACCTTTTGCCTGCCAATCAAACATGTGAACCACTAAAGGTAGACTGCACGGCTAGGTTGTTGATTCTACACAGGGAGAACGATGTTACTTTACTCCCTTATCTCGTCTTAAAATGTTTCAGATTAACAATATGCTGACGCTGAATGCTTTGATATTTTGCACTCAAAAAAAGGTGAGTGTAATATTAGACAGTCACAGTCAGTAGAAGCTAATTAGAAGCAGGGTTTTGCAATGCCAAAAGAAAATTCTGTTCCATATTTACCACCAACTCCTGTTTCTGTGAAGGATTTCTTTCAAGGCAGATTTTCCACAATTTGCACTTCTTTTTTGTTTTAGCCATGATGCCTCTCAGCTAACTGGCAGTTTACGCCAATACGCATTTCAAAGTATCTACTGCTTCTACTCTACTCGCATCTAAACAAAGGAGGGAATCAGAATATATTACAGCTCCTTGAAATGGAAAGCAAGGACTTTTGGAAACTGACACAGCAGCTGATGCACAATAAACTGGACCAACAGAACAACAGTTCCATGAAAAAGTGACTACTGTAATCACATAGCTAACCTAAAACTGCATTTTTGGATCGTTTCTTACTGATTGATTAATCTGGTAAGCATGAAAATGATGTGACTCAGATCCTGTGGCCTTTGCAGTGACTAGATCACACCCTGCATCACACTATGCATTTTATCCTTACAAAGACTTTGAATCGATGACATGCTGATAGCACGAGGTGGCCCAACCCCTTTACTAAGAGACTTTGTTGCCTTTTCCTTTAATCTGTCACATTTCTGCGCGTTACATTTACCATCTCTTGACAGCCGTCCTTTCTCCAGCTCCTTCCTCGAGATGACATCTGAGACGAGATCCTGCTCGTTGTCGCTGCGCTCCTCCTGCTGCTTTGATGCCTGCGTGCTGAAGTAAAGCTTCCCAAAACCTTTAGCCTCTGCTTCCTCCTCATTGCTGCTGGGCTTGATCTCGCTCTGATCCACTTGAATGGACGATGCTAAGGGAGAAAAGTTTAAGCGTGCTAAAACCTGTGTATCACATTGTTACATTAATTATGCACGTATTTCTCATGTGCCACTAGGTTAGATCTGCTCAACCGCTTTATGGTATCAAAAACAGGAGGATGACACTCTCCCTCTAGCACAGTTGAGGTTTTCAAAGTGTTTACCAGTAGCAGATGGTGAAATAATCACTTCCAAAATGTTTATCCTCTTCAGTAAACAACACCAGCTCTGGATGGGGATGGGAGGGTGGAAGCAAATCCTCTTGGTCACAATTAGTTTAACATATTGATATTTAAATTTCTAACTGTGGCATCAGTATAATCCGAGTTGGAAATAATGATTTCTTTGTCGGGATTAATACAACAGGGTTTCATAAGGCAAAGAAATAATGAAAAAGGTGGAAGGTTAAACTTGGTGGCACTGACTACTGGAAGACGAGCAAACATAAGCACATTCAGTCTCTGTGAAATAAAGAACTGTAATCAAAATTCCCTCCTGTTTTGCAAACATGAGTTTGAAAGGCGGTGGAAGGATAACTCTTTTGAGGAGCACATGAATGCACACACACACACACACACACACACACACACACACACACACACACACACACACACGTTGTAGATGGAATTACTAAGAGCAGTGAGCCTCTACAAATCCGAGGAGGGTGGGGGGAGTTGTCACCCACGCAAGGTGTATGTGTGTGTGCACTGGAGCAAGCAGCGTTGGGGAGCTTTTCTGATACACTCTCTGCAGAGAACTAGATCGCTGCTTTCAAAATTATCCTTCTCCTTATCTACCCCCACCTCCCCTTTTCATTTAAATAGCTTGTTTATCGGATCCCACACCTCCACTTCCCCAAAACAAGACTAATCCAAAAAGCCACCTGTCATAGTTTATCTTTCCCCTGCCTTTAGGAAATCTTTTGTGTTTGACTTTGAGATCTATTTTACTTCGCAGGGACTTGCCAGAGAGTGAAGTTGTAGCTAGAGAGCAGGGAGATAAGGCAAACAGGGAACTGCACAGCTGACAAGTAACACAGACTGTGCCCTCAATGACATTTGCTCATACAGATAATGGTTAAACCTTTTTGGTGGCAGTTTCTACCGTGATATACTGCTGTGTAACACTTGGCTGCGACTTCGTCCATGGTGCGGGCTTTAACTTATGTCAATAGGAACATCAAAACACCTCCTGCATCAATGTGATAATAAACATGATGTATAGTAATAACTAAATCCCTACACTGCCTCAGCTGCACAGAAGGACATAAGCAAACCCATCTTTAAACTTTTGCGATATATTTGGAGACTGCAGCATTGGTCTGATTTATCTTAACGGTAACTATAAAAGTAGCTTTTTGCATGTCTTAATACAACTTAGCCTTTGTTTCTCACATGCTAGAGATTTAACAATTTTCCACATCTGTCGCTCAGTACACATGTGGATTTTTTTTTTTTTATAAATAGAGGGGGAAAGCAAACTTCGGGTGGGTCATCCACATAAAGAACGCCGGTGGGTTGATCCCTGACTTCTCCAATCCACATGCTGAAATATCCGTGGCCAGGACATGGACAATACATCCATCAGCATGTGTCAATGACAGAAAGTGCTTGAAAGCTATGTGTGATCATGGTTAACTAGCACAATCAACATTGGAAACTGACTAATTAACATTGCATCATTACATAGTTGTCATGGCTGCCACTTCTCATTTCTTAATGATGTCATATTTTAACACTGCTTATGCTAATTTAAAACACGCGGTAAATGTCTGGAGCGTTTCTACTCTACCTGAACACTCAAAGCACTTTACACAACTTTCATCATTCACTTTTATTCATGCACGTGCTCTCTGTCGAACATGCACACACATTCATTGGTGCACTGGAGAGCAGCTCTGGGTTAGGATCTTGATCAGAGGTATTTGACATGCAGACTGGAAGCAGCCTGGGATCAAAGAATCAACCTTCCGATTAGTAGATGACCTGTCCTACCTCCTTCTACAGTTTCTGCTCTTCACCTTTACCACATTTCTACATCCTCATAAAGTTTATTAGTAACTCACTGAGAGCTCTATAGCTCTGGCAGCAGGTTGGAAGAAGCAAATTATAGAGATCATATTTTATTGTTGGAAGTAGGGCTGCTCAATTAATCGAATTTTAATCACGATTACGATCTGGGCTTTCAACGATCATTAAAAATGACTGAGCCGATTATTAGCCCCTCCCTCATTTATCCGCGACACCTTAAAGGCCGGTCCGTGAAAATATTGTCGGGCATAAACCGGTCCGTGGCGCAAAAAAGGTTGGAGACCGCTGATTAAGAGGACCCGAGGGAAGCTCGGAAAGCTAAGCAGAAGTTATTTGGAGAGTGACTGCCGTTGGTTGAAAAGAGTTTAAAAAAAAAAAAACTTCAGTGGTGTTGCACACTATTTTATATTATTTTTTTAAAGTCATTGTTAACCCTTTAAAGCCGGTCAGAGCAGCACGCTCCGTTTTGCGTAACTATTTTTAAATCCCTGTAGAACCTGAACCGTGTAAGCTAGCGCAATAATTTGTTTTGCATATGAAACCGGAGGAGTTGTACTTACATCTGATGCCATCAGCTTGTCCTCGGTCACGGTTTCGTTCCACATATAGCTTTGCAAAAATTGCATAAAAAGCGCTTGCAGGAACAAAAACATAATATTCCAGAAACACGCTTTGCCGTTCCTATCAGCTGTTCGTAACACTTCCTACAGTGAAATGATGCACATGCTGTTTTCTTTGCAAATTTGCATCATAGGATTGTTTTTTGTTTTTCCTGCAGTATATAAAAATTGCTGTATCTCCAAAATAAAACTATGAAGACACTCAAAATAAATTTCCTGTGGTGGGAAACTATTTTTTGCAACTTTTTTTGTATTTAAAGTTTTGAGGGATAAACCTCTTAAACTTCTCCAAGTAGAAATATATGTAAACAAAACAAAAGCAATTTTCAATTTTTTTTTGTAGTTTATTGCACTTTTTTGCAATTTATGTAATTACTATGCACTTAATGCATACATATTATTAAAATATGGGCTATAACAGTTGTATTGATGTATAGCAACTTGAAATGCTCCCACAAATGGCACTACAGCATGTAAAAAAAATAATATAAGCTCTGGTGGACTTGGTTCTATAGTAGGTCTTAAAGGGTTAAATAAATATCGTCAAATAATCGTGATCTCAATTTCAGTGAAAATAATCGTGATTATCATTTTTGCCATAATCGAGCAGCCCTAGTTGGAAGTATTAAATCCACCTTTAGCAAAGGTCTGTATATCCCTCTTTGGAATCGCACTAAAAGTTAAGCAGCGATTAAAAGTAAAAATAAATAAATATCTTGTGATAATTAAGCACAAGCATTTGGATGGTACCTTAAAATGTAAATAAATTAAAAACAGATAATTTACTGTGAAATGATCCTTGTCATTCTGTAATCCTTTAATCATATTATGTTACATTGATCATCGTCTGTGCCTCAAGCTTTCATGTCTTGTGCATAACTAAACACAAACAAATTACGGTCTTGCAAAGCCACCTGTGGTTGATGGACGACTTCTTCTATCTCAATTTCCTTTTCAAACAGTAACTCTGGCTGAACTGTATCTTTCCAGCGTCATCAGTACAACTTAAATAAGTTCAGTCAAGAGAAGGACCAACAATAACTTTGATAACTGGGACAAAAAGTCTCAATTTCATTTTTGTACCTTTTTTGTTACCATTTCTGTGAAACAGTTATTTTTACCCTTCAACAATGGCAGGCTCCTTTATCTCAGCTCTGTTTGTCCTTTTCAAAAAAAACAAAACAAAAAAAACCCATCATGAATTTCTACAACTGATTAACTACTCTAAACTTCCTCCTGCTTTCCTCTTTATATTACTCGAAACTGAATATCTCTCGATCTTCAGTTTCAGAGGCATCAGCTTGGAAACTGTCATGACTCAACAAAAAAGCTCAATCCAGTAAAACTAGCCAACATAATTGACAGCAGAAATTGTGGGAGGGAGGATTACCTTTGCCTTCGTCGTCTTCAGGCTGAGCTGGCCTACTTCCTTCAACAGCAGCTGCTACATCCGGAGCTGAAATGCGGAACTCAATTTTCCTCGGACCGGCGGCGTGGGGCTGCTCAAACACATCCGAGGGCTGCAGAGTCGCAGCACTGAGGACAACAAAGACAATCACTGCTACCCTCTACTGCAATCTCTAAAAATAACCTACAATAAAACTGAGCTCCTGAGCCCCTTACGGTTCAGGATATTTTGTTCTGGTCAACCTGAGATATTTCCCAGTCCACAAACATGTGGCCAGGAGACTGTGTGTTTGTGTATATTTATAGTTTAGTAACAGAGTTTGTGGCCTGTCATTAAGGGAGTGTGTGAGTGTGTGATGCTGAAACAACAAGTCTCCGAGCCGCACGAGGCTGTGTTTATGAGGAAGACTTATTATCTGGAGGTTTTTGCCCTCTCTCTTTAGCTGCCTGTGAATACTGTCCTGAGATGAGCTATGCGTGAGGACTGTGACATGCATGAGTGCCTTTGGTCTACCTCTGAGAGTCTGGCTTGGGAGCATAGAGTAGATCCTTGATCCTGGGCTTCTTTCGTTTTGAAGCTGTTTTTGGTCTCAAGGGTCGCTTGCATGCTTGGTTGACCAGGCCCATCAGACGAACAATCCTGAAATAAACCAAGCATAGGGAATAAGGGGGAAATCGTCCAACTTGGTCCAAAAAATAAAAAAATAAAATCTATGAAGCTAGTACTGTAATCACACATTTGCAAATGTATATGGATAGTTAAATATCTGCTGTAATCAGATTTAGAAATGTATAAAAAAAAAAATTCTCTAAATTTATATTCTGATTTGTAAATGTGCAGAAGGATCATTGATTTTCCAGGTCTCTGGAGCTCAGCTGGAGGGCTGGGACATCACTTTGGTGATTATCTTCTATAACACGTCAGTCTAAAATCATCCATAGGTGGTCAACTAGGGAGGAGACCTGGTGACCGCAAAGACAATAGTATATGATTCACACTAGTTTTTTTTTTACTCATCAGACCATTCAGCATCCTCAGACCCTAACACTGGAGGCACAGCCGTTCTGGAAGATACCACTCCCATCAGGACAGGAATGTTTCATCACACCATAAAGGTGATCACTCAGAGCAACTTCATATCGATTGGCAGTGACCCAAACCATGCCAGTATCATTCCACTGACAGCCAGCCAACGCCGTCGATGTAAGGTTCAAAGATTCATATTTGCCCTTTAGTTTGTCACCTGCTGCTAAAGTGGAGCAAAAGTCAGACACGAAAATCTTTGCATTTACACAATTGTGGATCTACACGAGCTTTCTGCATATTTAGAAAATATGACAGGGAGTGAGATACAGATGTGAAAGTCTCCACACACGTTTGCAACTAATCTTTTCTCTAGAAAGATTAATACTGATGAATAATATGTTAATACGCCGGCATGACCGTTAGCTATGATGAGGTGCAAAACTATCTGAAAGCCAGTCTGACTGTCTCAAACAGTGTTTGTGCTGCACTCTGTCGTCGCCTCACCTCTCTTTGTCTTCGTCGTCTCCACTCTCATACTCGGATTCTTCCTCGCTGCTCATTTCCATCTCCTCCTCTGGTAAAGGGGGATAATCGGGAGGGAAGGGAGGAGGCATGGGGATGGGTGGAGCAGGAGGCAGGAGTTCAAACTGCGGGAAAGAAAATTACATGGCTTAGCATACAAATGGGAGAAGCGATGGCTGATTTTGATTTTAAATTAAATACAGATATTTTAAATTCGACAACAGTCAAAGGAGACGACTTTACGGTACTAAAAACAACAATTATTTTTGCAGTTGAGCAACCTGACGACCAGCTTCTAATAACTAATAAAATGTAAGAAAATGAGCGCACAATAGAACCAACGTGTCAGAGGAAAAAAGGAAACTCCTAGCACAGCTGGACACAGCATTCCCGGACATTTTGCATGAGAGAGGATCTCTCCCTTCACATCCTATCAATTGTTTTTTTTGTCTATGACTTTGACATTTTGAACATTGGAATTTCCTTGAATATTGAGCATCATTGCTCTGCTTCTGAACCACCATGTCAGTTACATACAGTTAAATGTAAAGTTTCTGTTGTATTCTCTGTCTCTGCTGTTTTTGCTGCTTGCATGTGTACAGTATATGAACCCTTTTGTAATCACTAAGGCTGGAAAAGACGAGTGAAAGCCTGACTTTAATAATTAACGGACCCTCTAATAGCAGCAGCCTCCATCAGACCTTGGCTGTAGCTGCTTCTGACACTTCCAAATGGTTTTTGGCATCTTTTTGGACCGCTCCTCTTTACAAAGCTGTTTCAGTCCATCAATATTTCTGGGATGTTTTGATTAAACACAATTCCTCAGGTCATGCCACAGAATGAAAACCGAGTTAAGGTCAGGTCTCTGTCTTGCGAGTTTCATCCTTTTAACCATCCTTCTGTTGATCTACTCGTGTGCTTTTTGTCACTGCCCTGTTGCATCACCCAACCTCCCCTGAACTTCAGGGCATGGACTTCTTGCCTGCATTTCTCCTGTAAAATTCATTATTCCTTCAATGATAGCAAAGGAAAGTGTTTTGGGACAGGCGGTTGATTTTCTTTTCTCTTTTCCTATTTTGCAAACCTTTTTTGTGGACTGTAGCGCTTTGGGGTGTCCTTCCATTAACACAATTCTTTCTCAGCGCTTTTCTAACAGTTGAGACATCAAAAAGGATTTCACAAGTTTACCAAGAGATTTCTGCAGGTACTTTTATGTTACCCTCGGGTTGTTTTTTCACTTCTTGCAGGACTGCACACTGTGTTCTTGTGTGATCTTTGCCCACTCCACTTCAGCTAAAGTAGCAACCTGTCCTGAATTTGTCCTATTTGTATGCACTTTGCAGACTGATGAGCACTCAGGTCTTTAGAACGGCCGTTGCAGCCTTCTCCAGCTTTGGGTATAAAGCCTGCTGTGATTTTGTTGAGGTATGGTTCATGCCAACCAATCATTTGAGGGAAGAGCAGCACCTGCATCTGCTTTACTGAAACACCAAACTCAAAGTAGTTTTTGGAGAAGTTCTGAATGTGAATATTTACTCATTAGTTTTCCCTGTTTGTGTATTATTAGTTTACTCAGACTGTGTCTGAATAAAGTACTCATAAAATACCTTTTATGAGTACTCAGTGTAGAAATACTGATCATACCAAAGTGTTCCTGCATCTGAAAGTGTGACGTGAACACATGAAAGTTCTGATGATTAATAAACAAGCTAACTAGTACATTTGTATATTTATATGTGCATTTTGACAAAAAAAAGAATATGAACTATGAATGGAGAGAGTAGGAATATTTTGGCTGATCTGGGAAAAGTGCTCACATTTACTGCTCAAACATGTTCTTTTTACATTTAAGAACTTTCAGTCTCCGTATTTGGGAGAGTCAAAAAGTTAAGGAAAGGTAGGGATCTATAGTTCTGCTCATCAACCTAAAGACACACAGCTGAGTGTTACTGCCTTAACAAGCTGTCTAACTCTCAGAAGTACATTTTGTGAAACATAACACCTGCTTTTATAAAAACATTTACACACTTGGAAAGAGCTTTACATTCAGTGATGGTGTACAGAAGCTTACCATGGGTGGTCTGGCTGTGATTGGGCCAAAAGGACATGGCAAATTCATCTTGTTCATCAGATGAAGTACCTGTATAGTTTGAGATACGAGTTTGAGAACAGTGAAAATTCATAGCACAGGCTGGGGGGAGAGAGCAGGTAATATAAATATATATTGCCGCTCTCAAACAGGCAGCCGGAAACTCGGGCTCCATATGTAAAACAGATTTCCAGGCTTTCGCATACAAATACGAGGATCAAGGTGAGATTGAGGCTCGAGTGAGATGCCTACAATGAGGCAGAGCACCGGGAGAGCTTCTCCGAAACACACTAGCACCACCAAGCTGCTGACACGGGGAACAGCAGCAATTAAAATCCAGGCAGCGCGGCTCCCAGGGAAATGTTAAACCCATAACTCATGCCGCCCACTTATGGTTTATTATTAATACTTGCTTCCCAAATTGAGATTTAAAAGGCAAATGTTTGCTGTTTGATCTTTAAGAGCCTGGATGCAGTTCAAAAACCTCTGGGACACTTATTCCAGAATCATATTCCTATTTTACAATATAAATGTAGGGACTTGAAATGCTGTCACATTAGCTTGAGTTTTTTCTTTCCTGCACTAATTCCCACTTACCAAAAATGAACACAGGGACATCATTATTATGGCCAGCATCTGCGCATCAAGGTAAAATAACAAATAAAACCACACAAAGGAAGCTGTGTTTACTCACTTGAACATAAAACTTTGGCACGCTCATGAGGGCGTGTGTTATATTTGTCAGAATGCCATTAGAGGGTGGTGGATATAAATATTTCAAAGTGGGATTTGATTGAAACTTCAACCTGTAGGAGACAAAGAGAGGGGGGGAAAAAAAGAGTGTTAGTTTAAACCTGCAACTCTCTGCCTTAAACACAATAAAGCCTTCACTGAAAAACAGTCACGAGAAAAAAAAAAGTATGGAAATTAGCGTGGAAACAACTGACGTTTTGAATACATCTGAAGGAGCAAACACTCGATCCATTTCAAATGAGTGCATACAGATGAAGGTGATGTACTCTAAACAAATTCAGTCATTTTCTCAATTTCTATACACAAAGCAGTCAAACGGGAACGAAGCATGTACACTTCTATATTTATCTCCTTCACCTTCAAATCTAAAATTGGAATCCAGATTAAAGCACAAGTGATCCGAGTCTGCTCTGGGGAACGACAGGAAGAAAAAGGTCTGAAGCCAAGAAATCCTAGAAAGGACTAAACCACGCTTGGCCGGTGACCAGACAGGAAAACACCCAACCTTTAGGAATAATGTGCTCTGTACTAGCAAATCAAAAACAGTGTTTTGGGGTTACGCTGTTAGTTTATGGCTTTACGGAGCATGTCCCTTGCAGTCTCTGATTCAACTGTAAAGTCTGCATCACACCAAGGACTGCTTGAAGATCATTTTAGGCCATCTGCTCCAAGAATTAATGCTGAACCAGAAGTGACTTTTGAAGAGGATAATGATCCTAAGAACAGCAGCAAATCCACCAAAAAATGGTTTCGGCATGAGAAACGGAGAGGTAGAGGAGAAGGAACGGTCTCGTCAAAGCTCAGATTTAATCCCACTGAAATCATGGGATTAAATCATGCAAGAAAACCCTCAAACATCCTGAGAATGAATGAATATTGCATATAAATTGGTCAAAAGTTAAAGCAAGATGATGTCAGAGACTGGCAGACAATTATGTAACACGTCCCTGTTTTGTTTTTTGTTCTTTTTATAAGCACTGTTCAAAGATAATCACGCGTTTGCTTTCTCAAATACTTTTTATGGGATAAACTTCTTCACATGACTATATGTCAAAACAGTCACACATCAGTGTGTGGCCCAGGCAGTGGCCCTACCTCTTGCTAGGAGGCCTGTCATTAAGATTAAAAGCACAAGCCATGCCGTGTCAGCACAGCAAGGTTGGTCCTCGGGAAATAGATTTCTTAAGGTGCCAATCTACACAGCATGGGACAACAAATTCACCTACACTCAAGACTAATGAGCAAAGACTGAAGGTAGGAGAGAGTTATTTAATTTGCCACTAGAAACAGCAGTTAAAGGTGCGGAGGCCTGGTAAATGGTGCCTTAACAGCACTCCAACTCACCTTCGTCATCATTTGATTTAGTGAATGTAGATTCTGTTGTGTTGCGGCTTGAAGCCACGTCATCAGCAAGATGTTTTTCCCCACAAACATTTCTCCTTTGTTCCAGCGCTCAACCACAACTTCTCCAATTAGAATGAAAGCAAGCTGAAGTTAAGGACTTAACCACAGAGCCCGACCGATACTGATATTTAAGGATTTTAAAAAGTCATTCTGATCTTTTGAACCACTGTTTTTTTTTTTTTTAGATTTTCCAAACATTTGCAACATGTAGTCATTTATTTACCCGACTTGACTGGATCAGCTGGTTGTTGTGCTTGTGGTTCCAAACACGTGCTTCTTGTGTTTAAAATTGAAAAACAGGGATGTTGCAAAGCGCCCTCTGGTGGGCAAACTATGAAACATCAACACTCATAATATAGTTGAAGGGTGTTTCTCCCATTTCCTCTTTACTTTTAAAACGTTCCCTTACCGACCATTATGAATGCAGCTAATATTATTGGTCGCTAGCAGCAAACAGCTAGTAGGGGTCGCCGATAAAGTCGGACTGTGGTTGTATGCCTCTCCCAGCTCAGTTTTTTCCAGTTTGCATCAATGTGAAATTTGCAAGATGATTAAAATCTCCCCTTCTGCTCTTTAATTATTAATGGCCAGGAAAAAAAATACATGTTTTGCAACGCATCAGCATATGAGTCTGTCTGATTTGCACCTACTCAAACAGACTTTACTTATTTCTTCTAAAGAAAACAACGTAAAATTGTTTTCTTAATTATTAGCATATAATTTGCCACAGAACAAATTGCAAAAATGTAAATGTGTACAAAATGCAGTTCTAGCCTTTCTGCTTATACAATGATTGAATTAAGAAAATGAGCATAGCTGACCACTATTTTAGAGTCCCCCTTTTTTAAAAGCACAGATTAATGTATTTTAAATTCACTTAATATCCCTCAATGTATTATTTAGTCCATAAAAGGAACCAAAGACTAGTGAAAAACAGTGAAAAACATCAGAGTTCTCCTTCTGCAATCACATTTTTGCTGTACAGGAGATTTAAAATACGCCGTCATTGGTGAACTCAAGCTCAAAATAACCAGCAAGTGCAGCTAGCAGGACATCTCAATTTGTCCCTAATCCAACCTTTCTACAAGCTCTAACACACCTAAATGCAATATACCCGTCTAACCAGACAGCACATTCTCTCAGTTTGTGCAGACTAGTATTAGAATATGGAGCTCTTAAGTCTGGGTTGCTGTAGCAGCAGCAGCAAGACAAACTGTCAGAAATGGAGTGAAAGGTATCAAAGACCACCTGGTCCCACCAACTGGCAGGACAGACGGCCTGTCAGGCGCTCAGTGGCGGCCTGGCTATCTAATTGGACACAAGGCGTTTGACAGCTCCCAACTACAGCTCTCAGATTCTCATCCAGGTTTACTGTCAGCCAGCCTCCAGGCAGTTTCTGCATAGCCAAACTGGCAACACTCTGACCGCAGTTTGGAGAACATGTGTCACACATACATATTTAATCGAATAAGACAGAGTTTGGGCAGGTAATGACTCACAAACTCTGGGTAATGGGAGACAGGGCCTGTCACCAAAAGGCAGAATGCAATATAGTGTTTTTGTTTTCTTTTTTTAACCCCACAAAATGGCAAAAAGAACAAAGACTAGAAATCTACAAGGTATCTAATGAATAATGCACTAGAGAATAACATCAGCCAAAAAAATAAAAATAAAATAAAAAACAAAACAAGTGATAAAAATAAAATGTTTCCTTCCCTCATGTCACACCAGCTTCATGATGACATGCTTTCATTCTTACCCGAGACTCGGTGCAACGCCCGTCTCTATGATGGGAATATTTGGCTTTTTACTCTCCTGCTTCTTCTGCTCTTGTTTGACATTTTCACCGCTACAGAAAGGCAGAGGGGAGGTTCAGACCACTACAAGGGATGCAATCATCTGCTGTTAACTGACAGAGGCATTAACAGTCCATCAATTTACATAAGAATGAAGGTCTGTGCAGCCCGGGGTTATTCAGATAGCTCACCTTTCTGACACAGGCGGGTCCTTTAGCACTGTTATGTGATCTTGGCCTTTTGCAAACTCCACAATGAGTGTCTGATCAAGAACCTCTAACTGATGGAGTCTGCTTAGAGCCTATAAAAAAAAAAAGATGTTAAGGGGACTGAAAAAGACCATACAGGACAAAGTGAGAGAAAAACCAGAGGAAGTCTCAAACAAAACGCTTACCCTTGCCGCTGACTTTTCACTCCTAAACGTTGCAAAGGCTGCATGTTTCTGTGGAAATGGACAAACATGTTCAGACTGCCTGGCAACTCAAATGAATGTCAGGATGTGAGATACAGCTCATGGGATAATCGGTGAGGAGAAACGTACCAAGCGGCCCCTGTTTGAGAAGACTCTGACTGACTCAGCTCCGAAATACTTCAGGAGGTCTTCCTTCTCTTCCTCGCTGAGCTCAGCTGGTAAGTGGTGGACAAGCAGTGTTTTACTGCAGTTTGTTTGGACTGGGTCTTCATTCATTTTGCTGCAGGACAGCAGTAAGAGAAATGGCAGCAAGAGAAATGGCAGCAAGTTAAGCTCACAAACCTCCAACAGTGAGCAGCACTCACCTCCTGTGTCCAGTGATAACCACTACCTAATAAGCAACCTTTCACCTAAAAGAGCAATTTCACAGGCTAACTGGTGGTGCAATGCCTCTTGATACTGTCTGCCCCACTGATGCTTTTGACCGGCCCTATGTTCAATATCTAAATCGTTTAATTTGGTGCCAGCCTTCGCATACAATCATATATAATAGTCCTGTGACCATACGAGTAGTGAAGATTTAGGTTACACCAGATGCAGCACATCAGTCTGATACTAACGCTGATGTATTAGACTGGACATCTGACACGTGCTTCTAACAGGCTGAGCAAGCCTCTGTTCAACCCCTAGCAATCGTTAAAGACAATGAGAAATGTGCGTGACTGCAGGCTGAGGTACTAGGTTTAAGCTCATTTATAGAAAAAACGTTGGTATTTATTTAAATAAATGATGCCGAATTAATTAATTAATTATGGTCATTTAAAAAAAAAAAAAGCTGAAGTGAAGCGATATAAGACGTGCTGCTTTTTCCACTAGCAAAGCCAAGTTTAATATGCCTTTCCTCCAATAGCTGCTCTACTCCACGATGACTAAGTCCTTACCGTAATGTGCCGCTAACGCTGGTGCTACACGGAGCTAACGTTAAGCTAATTTATCTCAGCCTTTATATGTTCTGGACACTTTCGAGAACCAAAGTAAAGATTTTAAAACATAAAACAGAGTTCCGAACCGCAATAAACCTTTCTGATCAGAAACTTGCCTCCAAAACCAGCCAGTAAACAAACCCACTTCAGTATTCTCTTCTTCTTATAACATTTGACAGCATCAGGAATGTACATTAGCGCCACCCTGTGGACTGGAGTATAAAATGCCTAACTTCTTTTTGCGAGTCCCCCTTCCTCCGGGACTCTCGTACAGAACACGCATATATGTAAATATAATTTTAAAATGTACTAATATGTAATATTTGATAGTAATACATAGCTCACTGAAGCTTCTTTCATCACTTATTTGAAAGCTAAAGCTCTAGTGTTTATTATGAAGGAAATACCGGAAGTAGTTGGTGTAGTCATTCAGTTAGACCACTATAGAACATACACGGTAACAATAAATGGTTAGTTTTGGTCTCATGTTTTATAGATGAACTTAAATTATAGCTCGCATTCTGTATTCCTTGTTCCTCTAGTGCGCATCATTTTAATACTGATTTAAGTATTAAAATGATGCGCACTAGTGGCTTCAAGTGAAGACTGACAATGGGAGGCAAACCTGAGCAAAGCAGTCGAATTAATAAGCCGATAACGTGTTACAGTAAAGACTGACATGATACCTTCTCATTTCCCACAGAGATGGCTACTTGAAGATGCGTGTTTTTATCGCCCTCTAGTGGTTACAATGAATGACTAAATTCGTCAAGCCAAAGGTGAGAGCACGTGGACACTTCCAATGACTACCTCCAAAATACAACGACAAAAATCGAGGAAATAAACAAATACGGGAACCTGTCAGCGTGCCTGCTCATTTCGAGGTTTCTTGTGCACCCACACGTCCAGCCGATACATTACGATTTAAAAAAAGAAGAAGAAGCTTATTTAAGCTTCCTGTACCAAAAAAAAAATCTTATTTTTTCTTTTTTTAAATTATTAAATCACAATACGTAGATATCGATTCATAGAAATTTGTTACAAAATTGCTGAAAACAATATTTTTTTTATGCTAATTGCTCTTTCAAAAGTACAATAAAGTACACACTTTCTTCTTCTTTCCCTGTCATGGATTCTATATCATTTAGTACAATCCATGTATAAATGCTATAAAAAAATTCAGAGGCACAATAAATTCACAGCTCTATGCAGTATAATGCGTTAGTGGTGATTTTTCACCAGCAGGTGGCATACTCACTACATCAGACTCTGATTAGTCTGACTGCTCTAAGCAGGTTCAGCAGTAACTTCCAGATTCTCCCTTAAGCCACAGTTATATTGTATTTTATTATTAAACAAAACAGTGCGATGTGATTAAAGCTAAGCGTGTTTTAATAATACAAAAAAACCTGTCTAATGTAACTGACCATTTTCTAAGAAAAACAAGTTTACAGTGTTCTTGTTTGTTTATATTGTATGAATTCTGATCTGTTACTGTCACAGAGACTCAAGTTAAGATCTGTCCTTCTCCTGTCCAGCCTCGTGAAAACATCCAGGTTCCTATCCCCACCTCTGAGAAAATCTCCCTACACCTCTCGAGGTCCCTCCAAATTCCTGGCCAAATGAGGCCTTTTCTTTGACGAGCGACGCGAGGGCATTCCTCATCAGGGGGACACAATACCCCCTTTCACCGTGGCCTGGCTCTGAAATTTCACAGGTGATGGGAGGAACGGCGGACACTCGATCCTCCCTCCCCTCTCCAGTGTAACACATCAGCCTGAGGAAGCGGGAATGTGGCTGCTGCATGGAGAAAGAGAAAAAATGCGGAGTGTGGAGCACTGACTCAGTATCTGTTGACTGTGCTGAGAGCATTATTTCAGGGACTAAAGATGCAGATTGTTAATAATTTGTGATGAAATCGTGATGTTTGACATATCAGAGGTGGCTCAATCGCACCGTTAATAAAATGCAAGCCCCACCCTACATATGGGTTTTAAGGAAAGAGGTGAAAAGCAGGGCATGGACTACTAAAACTGTAAAAGAGTTTCAGGTAGTGAGAGAGATGAAGATGAAAGGCTGTGGCTGCCTCTGTAAGAAATCTGAGGAAATGACACAATTAGAAAAAGGCCCCTGTCTTTCTCAGTAGGACATTTTAAATGCAGAGAGGCCCCCGTGGGAGATATTGATGCTCCTACTTGTCATTTAGCCAATCCTCTCATCCAGACACACTTACAGCTTTGGGATGCAGAGTAAGATTCTCATTTCAGCCCAAAAGAAAAAAAGCTTAGCAGCCTTTCAGTGATTTATTGGAAAATCAAACAGAGTCATTTGGAGACGTTAAGGCTCAATATAGAAGCAGCATGCTCCTTTTAAGTGGAGGTGTTAGATCTATTATTTTTATTTCCATCACTGCTGCACTGCTTCTCTGTCTCTCTCAGAAAACACAGTATTACTGTTTGTTTTATTTCCAAAGCTCATTTTGATAGTTTTTATGCCTGCTAACTCGACATTTGTTACTACAGCCAGGAAACTGGTTGGTGGAAGCAGTAGAAAGCAATAACAATCATGGCACATGAGCTGAGTTGATCTGGATAGTATATGTCAACTGTATTTCAGTATTTAAAAAAAAAAAAAAAAAAAGCATTGCATATATGAAGGTGTCCACTTAAAGTAACATCCTCTGGAAAAGTGTATCTAAGTTCTTACTGCTGTGCCATCAGTGTGGTATTAAAACATGACAACAAACAACAACAACAAGCCTGTAAATCTCCCAGACTTAATCTGTAGTCTTCTGATTTCCTCTACTTCATGAAATTTCTTGTAGACTTGGCACAAGGTGGGCTCGCTCCCCCCTCCTGCCACACAACAACAACAACAATGCGTTTTGGTCTTTGCACAGAAAAAACTATAAATGCTTTTGTCAGTGCTGAGCAGGACAGGCAGGTGAGGTCTGGTGATGAACAGTGTTGTGGAAATGGTGTTTGACGTGTGATTAAGGCATGAACAAGACCAGAGGCAGGGGTTTTCTATTTGTAATCACTGATATTAAATCCTAAGGAGATATCCTGATTTGGGTAGTTAGCTGAGGCTAAATGAGGCTAATGCGGGATTTGTGGTACTGCGTTTGTGTAGGTATTTGTCAGAATGACCTTTGCAGATGTACTTTTGAGCAGTCCCCCCCAAAAAAAACACGGTGAGTGTCAGGTGTAAGGATTGTGACCAAGATGCCCAAACAGGTGTGTGAAACCTCTTGAGATCTGTAAGTCACGTGACAGTGATCCTGGCTTAGAAAGAGACGCGGTGACAGTTTACTGCAAGTTTTTGTTGTTTTTAATACTTTCTTCCTCTTCACTATAAAATAATTCTTTGTATATTCTTCCTTCACTTCATCAGCGGCTGAGCTACAACACCAACAACAGCAAAAATGTGAAGAAGAGCAGTTTTTGACTCTAAACCCAGTGGTCACAGTGTTGGTCTGCAAAGCTGTGTGTAGGCTTTTTAAGGGACCAGCACACAACCGTGCTGTTCCTGGTACTCAGCTGTGTTGTCAACAGCGGACCAAGAGTTAGGAAGTTCTGGCCTAGTGCCAGTTACCAGATTATGGTTAGGTTTGAGGTGTGAAGATCCGGGCCTGTTTGGGCAAAGAATTAGCACTTTTATCCTTATTTATGGACCAAATATGACCTGAACTGAGCAAAAATGAAATTTTGAAAAATTCGCTAAATTGCTGCTTTACTTAGTCAGATGTTACAATAATAGTTTATAATGCGATATGAAGTGACCTTGCTTAGGTGTTTGTGTTGAATTAATTATGTTTTATGTTGATGTTAATCTACCAGACACAGTTTCTCTCCTGGCTATTTAAAGTGAAGGCACAAGGATTTAGGGGAATGCTTGAAATTCTACTTGCCTCTTCAGTATTGCATCTTTTTTCCCCGAGTTTGCCCACCAAAATACTTTCCTGCGTGGTTCTACCCACACAAGAAAAATACTGGAAACTACACACACCGACTCCTGTTTGTGAGTTTGAGGGACAACCTGAAAAAACAAAAAAAGAAAGAACCTTACAGCATTTCAGCTGGAAGAGCGATCCGAATAAATTCAAATAAACCTATAAGAAAACGCACGCTTCCTTCATATGTGATGAGTGTTTTTGCCCAGAAATTCAAACTAATTTGGGAGCAAAATAATCTCTTCAGGCTCTGCACCTTCAACAGGGTCCTACAGTCCTCATCAACTCCCCATGACCAGTTTTCCCTGACTGGACACACAAGGATTTAGGCTAATACCCCTTAGACAGTAAACTCAGGTCATGCCCAGCCTCTGATGCTTTAAATGGACTCTTTCATGGTTGGGGGCAATGTACAGGGCAAAAGGGGGCTCTGTGGTGGGATAGTGTGTATTTCCAGAACCCATCATGAAAACAGCATTGAAGAACTTAGACTCCACTATAACATGCCTCTATTGTGCTTGTACAAATATGTCACATCAGACTTGGTGGTGCTGATTGAGACATGTCTGTTTGTTTATTTTTTGAAATTTCCTTTTATACATATTTTTTAAATAGTCTTTGTTACTTTAGTATAGACAGACCTAGTTACCCGTTTCCCAACCCTGGGTTAAAGTATTCTAACTGACTGTCTGCTCTGGCTTCACAATGAAGATGTGACAGATAACTTAACATATTTGCCCAAACGTCAAACTATTCCTTTCACAGTGAGTGCACCTAGCTTTCATTTTGCTAGTTGCATGCAGAGCAGGCAGCTGAATCCCTTCCTCTTCCTGTCTGTCTGTTTGAAACTTTGCATGTGTGTGTTTGACAAAGGCCATCTCTCGGATTGGTGTGGAATGCAAGCACACAGTCTTCGCTCTCCTCTCTCTTAGAGCAGCAATCTTTCGCTCCGGTCATTCATGGTTATAGAAGTGTAGAAGCCACAGTAAATATTCAAACAACAAACATTCACTATTTATATATTTGTGTGTTGTAAGTCGTGACTTTCACAGAGGCACCTGCCAGTAACTAGGACTGATTGTTACTAGAATTTAACTATTGTGTGAAATGGTAATCGCTGAAATAAATAAATAGCAATTTATTATTGCCTGTTAGTCA